GAATGTGGGCCATTTCGTGAAAAGTAGCAATCCATATTTTTAGTTCTTTTACAATGGGCATAGTTTCTTTTTTAGTATAGAAAAGAAATGAGTATTGCTCCTCTTAACAATAGCCGCCCCAGAGAGAGAGATTCCATTGCATTTGCCTCCCTTGCTTGTGTTTGATCATGTTGGGTTTGGTGATAGCCAAATCCCCATTACCCATATTTTATTCTAAAGAATTAAGAGTGAAAAAAGACTTTCTTGGGAAGCAAGCAAGTGATCTCTATATAATAGGCTGAGAAAGAAATAATACCCATCATTTTGAAGGTCACCCCTTTGGGGGTTATGAGAAGGGATCTCCAAGATGGAAATTGGTCTCCAAGAGAGAGAGACATGGCCTCCGAGAGAGAGGTGGTATTCCCATGAATTTTAGATTGGTAAGGCTTCCATTTTAGAGAGAGAAAATATCTCGATTGCTCTCGAGATTATTTTTCTGGTAGCAGTATTGTGGTGGAAAAGAAGTTATCGATTGACGGTATTGCTCTGTTGAGAGAGCGAGTTGAAAGGAAGATCGGTGATGGTCTTTTATCAATGTTTAGAGAGAGGTATATCTCTTGTAACCCAAAACTGTAATCTTCATTGTGATAGTGGATTTTTAGTTGCCGAGGTTTTGGATGTAGACCTACGGGGTGAACCGCGTAAATCGTGTGTTGTGATGATGTGCTTTTTTGCGTTAGTTTTATTTCTCGCACTCGATTTATAGTTGGATTCATCTACTTCATATTTAGCCAATCATGTACACGACCTTGGGTGGAATCCCGGTATTTGAGATTCCCGATCCTGCAAGCTAGGGGTTCCCAAGAACCCTACAGATTGGTTACTTTTATCATTGTAGGAAAGAAATGAGTATTCCCCACCTTAACCCCTATCTATCCATTTTAAATTTAAAAATCATCAGAAACATCTTAGTTTTTTTTACCATTCAGGACCTCTAGTAAAGGGAACTTATATCTGTAGCAATAAGGAGCTTCTGTTGAAGCATACGTAGCCTTGCTAATTTTTTCATCCCAATGAATGCCTATCGAAGTTGATCCATCCATTCGCAGCCCTTTGTCACCTCCTACATCTCAATAGTATTTGAATTATTGTTTAGCATCTTTGAAGATTGTGAGGTAGTCTCTCCTTTTATGATAATAAAAAATGCATATCAATTGCAAAAGAATTACAATAAATTCTAGTGTCAAAGCAATTGCATGAGACCATCACATGGGTAACAATACCATATAATGTCCGTTGCCTCAGTTTTAGTGGATGAGTGATTATGGATTTCGTAGTTCATTGAAAATATGTGATGCAACACTCTTTAGACTCAAGCCATTGCAACACTATTTCAAACCAAATCACATTTAGAGGTAGTCTTCTTCAACCGGATAAATCATATTGACTTTAATTCACTCCGGTCTAAATTCAATATCAACACCAATAATTGTTTCATGAGTTGTGAGACCAACTATCTAGTCATATCAAATACTTTTCAACAAAAGTAATACAAACATAAACGTATTCCCTATACACAAGAAAAATAGAAATTGTTGCATATGGCCTAAAGTATCAACAATTTGTTGTTAAATGACCATCGGTTCAAGATTGACTATAATATGCTCTTGCGATACTTGTGACTGATTATTTTGGTGTATATCACGATGCCTCAAGTTTACACTATAATTCATCCCTTCCATATAGTCATTGTACCATTGGAAAAAAGTACAGTTTGGACACCGGTAGTACTTTCCTCCATGGTTAGATAGAGAGCTTGATGTACTTAAGTTGTATTGTAAGTTGCACCGTGGACAGATTCAACATGGATATCCTCCAGCATTTGTGGAAACTGATGACATGCTGGCTAGTTCAAAGGTCTAGACCTACATTCCAATTTCATAAAAAGGAAACAAAGGAAATGAATTTCTCTTGGAAATCTCTTTTTTGTTTTTATAAGGTTTTTATATTCTCATACAAAAACAAGCATCCCTTATAGACTCAATAACTTCCTTTAAAGCACAAGTCAAAAAAAAAAATGTATAGTATAATCAAACACTTAACAAATGGAAAACAAATCTCATACATATAGCATGAAACACCTGGACCAAACTAGTCAATCATTGCAGGTTAAACAAATAAGCCTATTCAAATCAGATATACTTGCAAGCAAACAATGACAATTTACACATGATACGCATAATACATACTTTCAAAGAGACACTACAGAATCTGCCTAGAGTGAAAGTTTAATTTATTTTCTTTTTAAATGGTGAGCTTTTGTATAATTTAGCATATATGCCACCTTGTCTATGTAGCATACAAATATTGGTAGTACATGTGTAATGCTTTCTCAATAATAAAATGGCTCAAGAAAGTAAGTTCCAGACTACCAGATAAGAAACATAAGCCAGTAATAATTTTCTATAAGAATAATTAATAATGCCATGCATTAACATACATTTGACTCATTTCCATTAAAAAGGCATTCAATTTGATCTATAAATTGCACCTAATTGTATCTGATAAACACAATTAGCAGGCAAGAATACATCAGTAGCAAGATTCGACAAGGAAATAAAAATAGGATGAGCATTGAAATGGTGACAAACTTAGTAACCCAGAAATACAAAACCTATACAAAGCCAATCAAAAGCTAATAACATTTCCTATATGCAAACCCAATAACTCATAACTACAAACCCATCACAGGGTTTTAGACTAAAAAACCCAGAAATAGAGTACTAATACGAAATAATACAAGTTATTCATACCTCTGTGACAACGAGCGAGAGAGAGAGGGAGAGAGAGAGAGAAAGAGAGAGAGGAGAGAGAGATAACAGTTTGGTAGGGCTTCCTTACTGTAGTCTATGAGAGCAAGGGAGAAAAATGGAGAGAGAGAGAGAGATCGCGCATGAGAGGAACAGAGAGAGAACAGAAAGGGCAAGAGGGAGAGATGGATGCAGCTTTGGTTTAGAGAGAGGGTGAGAAGGAGAGATGAGGCTTTGGTTTAGAGAGAGGGGGCGCAAGGGAGAGATGGCTTGTTTGGTTTGGAGAGAGAGTGCACGAGGGAGAGATGGCTCCTTTGGTTTAGAGAGAGGGAGTGAGGGAGAGATGGCTCGTCTGGTTTAGAGAGAGAGAGGGAGTGGTAGCATTGGTAGGGAGAGAGAGATTGCGTATAAGAAGGGTTTGAGAGAGATTGCGTATAAGAAGGGTTTGATGTAATAGGTAGCCCTGCCATCTCTATATACTAGGAGGCAATTTGCACATCTATGCAAGCTCCATTTTCAAATATAAAAGCGTGAGTTTTGCTCTCTTCAATTGTGGCTATCCATCTCCAGCAGAATCATCCAGGTTGTTGGCGCATCAACATGCCATACGTGATGGGGTGTACGGCACCTTTACCTATATATATAATGATATGTTGGCGTAGGTCCATTAGCCTACCGCTACGTATACATTCAACAGCCTAGATTGAATATGGGCCGATCTAATGATCACGATTGCATTTTGTATTTGAATTTTAAATTTTTTATATAAATCCAAATCGCTTGAAATTTTTGGAGTGTGCTCTTTAAAAATATTAGAATCCAATAAAAATATCAAAATAAATATTTTGTGAAAAATAAATTGATTTTTGTTGTAAAACAACAAGCTTTCTTTCTGCAGAGAATAACAGTGGGGTCAATTCAATGGAGAGAGTGGAGATTCAGAATTACCATAGACAGTCAAACAGAACTAAAAAACACCAATCAATATAGTAAACAATCTAAAAACACCATCAATATAATAAACAATCTTGATATGTGGAAAGCCAATTATGGCTATACACAAATTTCCAAAAATTTGAATATTTAAATGCTATTTCATCAAACATAGCCTTAATAAAGTAATGGGGTTGGTGATATATACAAAGTAACGTGTGATATATTTTTGGGAAAATTGCAAAAACCCTTTTGAAAAAGAGTTTTTATGTACTTTACTCTACCCAACTGTTCTTAGCAATTTTCTACAAAAAAAAAAAAAAAATCATGTTTCCTAGCAAATACCATATATAAAAAAATACCCCCATACAAAAACTTATTTGTTGACGAAAATACCATTCCCTCATGTAAGAAATTATTTTCGGATCCCAATAAAAAGGAAACGCTTGACCACACTTGTACAACGCGAGACTGCTAATTTCAAAATGTGCTCACTTCGAAACGTCAAACCGCTACTTCAAAACGCCAGACTTCAAAATGTCAAACCGCTACTTCAAAATGCCAGACTGCCCTTCAAAATGCTGGACCGCCATATTAAAACGCTTCAAAATGTTGGACCGCCATATTAAAACACTTCAAAATGCCGGACCGCCATATTAAAACGTCGGACTGTGCCTTCAAATGTCGGACTGCAACTTCAAAATGATGGACTGCCCGCCAGACCGGAACTTCAAAATGCCGGACCACCATTCCAACAAAAAAATAAAGAGTCGCTTTGCCACCATGAAATGTGCGACTGCCACCTTGAAACACAAGACCGCCACCATGAAACGTCGGACCGCTACCATGAAACATCGGACTGGCCATTCAAGCAAAAATAATCATCGGATTTCAGTAAAAATAATCGCCGGACTTCCAGTTCAAAACGCCGATCCTCCCTCGCAAAGGAAAATAATTTGTTATACGAGGAAAAGGTATTTCCATCTAAACAACAAATATTTGTACGGGGGGTATTTGCTAAAATAATTGGGTGACGGATGAAGTGTGTAAAAAGTCCAGTTTTGAAGGTTTTTTGCGATTTTCCCTATATTTTTTTTGTGACGGGTGTGCACTACCACATTCATGTTTTATATGAAGAAATTTTATATGCGAAACCAACTATACAAAGCTAATTCCACGCCTGAGGGGTTTTTTTGGGTCGCCACGAAGCTACGAAGCTACTAGCGTTTTATTTATAAATAAAAGAAAGAGAACCAACCATACAAAGCCAACTTGAAGCCGAGATGGATTTCTGGGTTGCCACGAAGCTACGAACCTATTTTATTTATAAGAGAAAGAAAGATTAGTAAGAAAGTATGGTAGCGTAAATTATCCCGTATTTTATTATCTCTGTTAAGTTCAGGCGGCTCGCTCCTCTTCCCTCGTGAGTCAAGTCCTTTTCGTATTCTGTGCCGAACGCTTCTATTCCTTGTGCAGGAGACATGCCATCAGGTACTTCGACTCTTCTCTGTTTCTGTATCTCTTTCTTTTCTCGATTGTTGGATTCTCAAAATTAAATTACTTTGTTTTCTGATTGTTCAATTCCCTCTCTCGCTTGTTTGTTTTGCTGTTGCCATTCAAGTTTCTGCCTCGGCATCAAAATGAATTTAGGGTTTTATTCACATGCGCAGATCTTCCTGGTTTTTACTTTGATCCCGAGAAGAATAGGTACTTCCCCATCAAACGTCCTGGGGACAAAGCTCTCTTCCCCGACAAAACCCAGAAGTGTGTTCAGGTAATTTCCAAAGCATTACCTGCTTCCTATATGCTTTATAGTAAAGTTCTGAACTTCTAATCACACATATTTGGGCTTTGAGTTCTGGGCCAGGTAATACCTTCATATTTGATACAGTAAACTGTATAAATATTTGTATTCCAAGCTTGTGATGCTGGTAAAGAAGCCTAGTCTCAATAGATGCTGAAATCAAACTTAGAATGAACGTGTGGAGAGATAAATAACTGGCTCTTGTTATTTCTGTGTGAGCTTTGGTGTAGTTGTTCCCTCTTATGCACTTGTAGGTCGATGATTTATACTTTGAATATGGTATGTTAGTTAACTGTGTATACTTCACTAATGTGAAAGTTGTTGGTATTTTTAATGGTGTCTCTAACCAACACTCTCAGGTTTAGGTAGTTTGAAAGCGAGCTGTGAAGATCTTTCAATTTGGGTGTCTAATCAATGTCCAAGTCTAATAGGAGCCTACCTCGTGTTTGTGATTGAGTTCGAGACTGTTTTTAAATTGCTTTATTTAAACTTCCCACCAAAACTTGACTCACAAAAGTTATTCAAGAAAACCCTAGTTTCGGCTTTTGGCTGCAGTTAATAGGGGAAATACATAATTGTGTGGACTATAGAGGAATTAAACTTATGAGCCACACTATGATGTTGTGGGAGACATTGATTGAGCAACGACTAAGAGGCATGAAACAAGTGTATTAAAGAACCAATTCGGTTTTATACCTAGTAGTTCAACAACTGAGGCTATTTTCCTACTTGGGTAGCTGATTGAGGAGTTTAAGATGAAGGGAAAAGATCACCACATAGTCTTTATTGATCTAGAGAAATCTTATGATAGAGTACCTCGAAAATTGATTTAGTGGGTGTTGAAAAAGAAAGGATTTTTCAGACACTACATCGACTTGGTGAAAGATTTGTGCAAGGGAGTGTTAGCCAGTGTGTGAACAAATAGTGGAGAGACGAGTAAGTTTTTAGTGACAATAGGTATACATCAGGGTTCAGCATTGAGCCCATACTTCTTTATCTTAGTCATGGATGATTTAACTAGGCATCTACAAGATGAGGTATCGTGGTATATGTTGTTCGCGAACGACAAAGTTTTGATCGATGAGACCTGAAATAACGTCAACACAAATTTAGAACTTCGAAGGGATGCTTTAGAATTTAGATATTCTAAATTTAGCAATGCTAAGGCAGAGTATATGGAATGCAAGTTTAATAATTTTAGGAGTAGAGACAATGAAGTAGTTAAGATTGATGACCAAAAAATACCAGTTAAGATTGATGACCAAAAAATACCAATAAGAACACACTTTCGATATCTTGGGTCGATAATCTAAGAAACTAGAGAGATTGAGGAAGATGGCGCACATAGAATTAGAGCTGGGTGGGTGAAGTCGAAATGTGTAACCGAAGTTTTATGTGATCGTCGCATACTAATGAAGTTGAAGGGTAAGTTCTATAGGGCAATTGTGAGACCGACTTTGCTTTATGGGGCAGAACGCTGGGCAATCAAAAAACAACATATCATAGAATGAGTGTAACTGAGATGAGGATGTTGAGATGGATGAGTGGTAAGACAAGAATGGATAGAATTCAAATAAAATATATTTGGGAGAATTTAGGCGTGATACCAATAGGTGATAAGATGAGTGAAAGTAGACTTAGGTGGGTTGGCTCTGTGCAACGCAGACGCAGCACAACACATGTTAGGAGGTACGAGTTAGTTCAAGTGGAAGGCTCAAAAATGGCAAGAGGTAGGCCCAAAAGAAAATGGCTGGAAGTAGTGAGAAAAGATATGGGGACTTATGGCCTCATTGAGGTATGACCCTTGATAGAGTAGAATGGCGGATTGGGATTCGTGTAGCTAATCCTAATTAGTTGGGAAAAGGTTTTGAATTTGATGATGATGGCCATAATTTATAAGGGATGCGCAGGTTTTTGCTGAAATTCCTTAATCCTACCTAACTTTTGTACTCTTAAGCCACAGATTTGGGACATATGTCTATCCTTCTATTACTCCTACTCGCTTCACTGTTTCAATAGTAGTTGGTAGGGAGTTTTGAGGTCTAGAAATACCTCATTTTGGGATTAAAAACGATTGTTTTTGGAATCTCTTTGTGCCGAAACTCAATTATTGCAATTTTTGATCTCGTTTACTAGGAATTGATTTTTGGCACAAAGAAAATGGTGGAGATGGACCACAATGTTCCCCAAGGAATTTGAAGAGAATAAGAGTCCAAAAAAGTCCTCAATGAATGCATCTCTTCTCCAGTTGACGAGAGAGCGAGAGGGAGAGAGAGAGAGAGAGAGATTGCTAAGGACACAAACCTCTAGTCGTGCCCAAGGTCTTATTAGGTATTACATCACCAGATTGGTTTTTAGTATCACTACTCATTTGTGAAATCTTACTCCATTGATAACAAAAGTTTAAAATGTTTTCAATGACATGATTCTCATTTATATTGATACTTGGGTTTGTTAATTTGGAAAAGTTAAAAATACTGTTAAATGGAACTCGCTCGTAGTTTACGGTACAATGGATAATTCAGCTTCTGGGACCTTGATCGTGACGCGGAAGAATGGGTTCCCATCCCTTAAGGGATCTGCTCTGTGGAGCTTGATCCTTAAAAGTCAGGATCTTGATCCCTACATTTGCCCATGTACGAAACATGTTCCCTTGACTATGGAACTTTGAGGCTTCCTTGCCTCGCACTTCTGCTCCTGATCCTAGAACTGATTTGAGAGGTGCATGAGAGTGATTTGAACTCTCACATCCCTTCCTTTCTCTTTTCTCTCTCTCTCTCTCTCTCTCTCTCCTCCC